TGTACATTAAGTGGGTGATAAATGTACATTAAGTGGGTGACAAATGTACATTAAGTGGGTGGCAATTAGGCAGGGTTTCAAATGGTTAACATTACACAAGACTCTTTCAAAACTTTTTGAATCAACAGTTTCTGGTGACTTCCAACTCATTTCTTTAAAGTCATTTCTTCCCAGAAAGTTTCTTACTTTGGTTTGTCCCATGGGAGGGGCGGGGCCAAGCACTTCTTGCCAGGATTTCGCCAGCAATTCCTCCTCGATTGCTGCATGGGAACGTCCCCCTTCCCCTTCCAAGCTGTCTCGCGTTCTCTTCCGCTTGGTGACCACGGGACGCTTGAGTCCATTGGGTTGACTCTGGCTGCCAAAGTCTTCCAGGTCAGGCATGCCCATTGAGGAGGCGGGACCCTGAGAGTCCTCCTCTGTATTCTCTGGCTGCAAATGGCAAACATGAAAAGAAGCTTTTTATCAGTTTGGATTCCACTCAGGGCGTTGAGTTATGTGGTCATTGACATTTCTAATTGAAATTTCTGTTTCAAGTGAAAATGTTCCACACTCTCTTCCAATTTTCATAAAAGCTTGATATGAGGTTCCTGAAAGAGGTCTTACATCCCTGTTAAGGTCCTACATCCCTGTTCAGGTCTTACATCCCTTTTCATTTCTGTCTAATATGCTTAAAGGTTTGAATCGTGTGAAACTGAGCCGTATGGTACACCGGCATACCAAAAGTTTCTCTTTAGATTGTTATGTGCCTTTCTGAAAGGAATTAGTGTTGACTTCAATGAGTTAAAAATGAACCAGCACCACATCAGCCAGCATTCCCTTAAATAAAGGCAAATTGTCCAGAGAAAAAGTCACTCATTGTGCACATTCTAATGAAAATCAGTCCTTCATACTGGGAATATTTCCTTCCTGTAGCCACCATGAATAAGGAACACAGGGCTGATATACAGTTCGTGCATAAATGCATTGTCTCTCAGGCAGAACTGTGTCAAGCTACCATGGACACTGCAAAAAATCCTTGAAATAGCTTCGAGGTCTGTTTTGCACCAATTAATGGCACACCAAAAATGAAAAGAACTGCATGACCTGAGTGCCGAGGGTTTGTACAGGGACCGTCATATAAAACGTATAGACTTGTAATGCCCTTATTCAGCCCACATAGGCCAATGAAGCCACTAACAGCCATCGCACCGTGCCGAATACGAAGGTACTATAAAGGCTTGTTCACTATTGTTTACAAAATCCTTCGTGTCGACAATAGTTAAAATGGTACACCAGCGAACAACTACCTTTATATCTAGACCTTTAAGTCTAGATTTTTTTATATGGCATACTTTAGCTGTACCTTGTTCCGTTGCCGTGGGGCAAACATTTCACTGATCTTCTTCTGTTTGAAGACGTCATTTTTCTCCAACAGTTTCTTGTGGAGCCAGTCAGGATGCTGGACTCTGGGTACAGGATTTGCTACCTAGGGAACACCAATGACAGTACAAGACAAATGTCACATGATCTTGTAGCGCCAATCAAATCTGTGAAAACGTCTGTTCAGTTTTACATGTGATAGACCCCACAAACAGGTTGCATCTACAGTTATGCACGTTACAAAATCAACATTATATAATGCAGATGGCTAAAACTGACCAATCAGAATACTCTGATCAGGTCATGTGGCAATCAAGAACTAATCATTTAACACAAAATACAATGAGCATAAAGTTGGGGGCATCATGACTAACAGACAAATGGTAAAACGAAATCTATTCATCACACCGGAGCTATGGAAATCTATCAGAGGACAATGTCACATGACAGGTATCAGCCAATCATCACCTGCTGAAGTGCTGCTGGGATTGTGATGATCTTCTGAATACAGCTACTGAGACGTTCAATGTAGTACTCCCAGTCCAAAATCTGTGAAACCACAATTGTCAAAAATTACGTTAACCACTTGCCGCTGGGGATTCCGGTTTCGGACATGTATTCTTTATACACACGGCCAGGGTCTCCAAAATCGGACAAAGGGAACTAGGCCTTGTAAAAAAGACCGTACTCGTAACAAAAGGACAGGATGCTGGGTATTACCAACATGTTTTCACTTTCGATAATGGAGATAATCCAACCTTGTTTTGAAACAGTATACCACGATTTGGGGCATTAAGCTCGAGCGGATTACCACCGGGGACAAAAGTGCTCCACCACTGCAGCAATGAGCCACACGGAAACACTGCACGCTAATCTGGCCCCTATTGAAAAGAGGTCTGCAGCGCACAGTCCAAGTTTCGTGAACAAAAGAAAATTACATAACACCACACAATCTGGGCTCTTTTTACAAGGCGGCAGGCCTGGCTGAAATACTCTAGCGTTAATAGATGTTGTATGTCATGATTAGAGTAGAAACCAGACAGTACTTCGTGTGGGGTGTAAGTGTCCAGTAAATGAAGATGTGAATTTTTAAAGAACAAACAGAAAGAAAAGGGAAAATTACCTCGTCCCAGCATCATCAATACTCACAAATGCCCCTGACACGGTGTGGTTAAGGTTGCGTTACCAGTCAGAAGGAAAGATACAAGTTGGAAAGCTGAAATACTGTCATCCTTATGTTTCTACATTGATCCATTTTGCTGTCCAACTATTGTCCCCTCAGATCTGACTGAGCAAAAATGAACTTACATCCCTGATGTCAAAGTTTGTCCTGCTTGGGTCCTTCAGCCACTTCTTGAGGTAGTGTTTGAGGACGCTGGGCTCTGACTGGAAGATGGCCAACGGGATCGCTCGCTCTGTCACCGGAGCACCCTCGGGCTTCTTGGAGATGATGAACTTACAGGCTAGACCCTTGTCCTTGACCATCTGGTCTCCAAGGAACTACAATTGGGGGCGCAAACCCAAGGACAGAAAAAGGTCAAGGGTCAAGGTTAGGCTATTTGTAAATGTTAGGCCTAGCAATGCAGTTGATACAGGAACATTTCGAAATTTTTTGAGTGCATTATCAGCCTGTAGTCTGGACGGCCAGAATTGATTCAAACCAAAGCGCCTCTATTTACGATGTAGGAATTAGACCATGTGAATATGCTCAAAATACGTACCTCTCCCCTCTCCAAAACAATATTTCCCCCAAAGCGTCAGCCATCTACAGGTCCCCTGTTTCTTTATTCACCACAAAGTTTAACAAACCCTTCTTCATGGAAAATGTTTGCTTGTGTTGCTCCGGCTGCAGATTAATCCTCAAAGAGCAAATATTTTCTCTGATCTTCTCGCAATGCATTGTTTCCTAGCGAGCCTTCAGCATTGTGTCTAGCTCTTTTGGAGTTTGCAAGTGACACCTCATTACCTCTGCTAGTCTCTTAGCTGTGCGGATGGATGTGGATTTCTGCGCACCGTACTCCTCCAGTTTCCGAGACATGCTGCGATTTTCGGAGATCAGGAAGAACAGCTCCGAGTCAGGCAAATTGGCAGCCTGGGTATGATTCAATGTCAAAACATCTTGTCTGAGAATTCAGTCTTCGGATGAGATCACCACAATGGAAGAAAATTTGCAAAAGCCGACTGATTTTCCCAAGTCTTGGATATCTTTGGCTTCAGTATTATAATTTCCCTTCTAAGAATTGTGACTCATAATGTAACTCCTGTCAGTGTAGTCTTGTTAAGCTCAAGTCATGTTCCCACTGGTACGTTTACGCTTCCATGACACACTCATTAAGTAGTGCAGCTCCAAGGACAGTCAATGCCAGATTTCAAACAGAGAGCCCTCTGTAACTTACCCCAGAGCTAAAAGTTTACTGTGACTGCACGTGAGTTCATTACACGTCCGTCACAATTTGTTTCACAGATGCAGTCACAAGTTACCAGGTAAACAATGACAAGGGAATACTTTTGTCACAGTTCATTCAAGCAGATTTGGGACTGGATAACTTCTAAGATACAACCAGGGGGTGAGATTAGACGAAATGAAATATCCACAAAATAATCACCAAAGGTTTGAAGGGCCCCCGCCAGCAGTGTAGGGTCTATGGTATATATTTGTGTTTTCCTGAAGGCACCCCTTAAAATACTTCTTCTGCTCTATATCGACTTCTACACATAAAACACCTTTTTAGTAAACTCAGGATTTTTCAGATTTTAAAAGAGATAGTTTAATTTAAAAATCCGGAAATCTGCATAATCCTGATAAATCTCACCCCTGTACAACAATGGTGCAGGTTTACAATGGAGTGATTCCATAGTCGGTATCAATGTAACAAGCAACCTACCCTGCTGTAAAGTACATCCAGCCAGTAGTCGGCAATCTTTGCTACTGCTGCGTAACACTCCTCCAGAGTGTTCCCTTTGAGGAACGCCTCAAAGACGGAGGCCTGGAAGATCTTGATCAGCTGAAGCTCTCCGTTACGCTTCACCTCAAAACCCTTCAGCTCAGCCAAGGAACCATCAAAGTTAAACACGGCATATCTGTTGAAAGACAAGAAGAAAGCACCACTGATATGAATTAACTGGTTTTCCGTCAAGTTTCTCTACGAAGTTTGCTCTTTTCTAGAGCTACTAGAGAGAGAGAGAGAGCTACACAGAAATGCAGACAATGGATTGGAGGTTATTGTCATCAATCAGTTTCTTCACTTAGTTTCCCTCAAACTGTGATTTTGCTATTCAAAGAAACGTATTCAACTTAAGAGGCCATCTTAACAAAATCCAGGACTGTGACCCATTTTATGGCTTCTCATATCCAATGCAAGCCCCACCCACCTACAATACCATACTAAGTGCTACAAGAAATAGGCGAAGAAATTTACAAAGAGTTTTGGCCTATGCGCCTGCATACATTCTATACTTAAGAATTCTGTGCCTTATATGGCATAATGAATGCTTACGGAGATAAGTCAACACCAAATCGCTGTGCTGGAGCTGAGAGCATTGAATTGTGATCACAAGTGCGGAATCCCAAGGTTAAGAGAGCCATCAAATTAGGCCAGCTATCAGCAAGGACCAATCTTCCTTAACAGTTACAAAAATTAATTAATTACTAACCGTTTCTTCAATTTCTTGCCCTCTTCCTTGGATGCAGGCAGGATCATGGCCAAGTAGGGGCCATCAACCTCAAAGAAGATTGAGTTCTCGTTCCGCTCGGCGTAGGTCAGATTAGCTGGGTCCACCAGCTCCTGATACTGGTCATTGGTGTAGTGATCCTGGCCACGGGAAAACACAAATCCGCAACGAAATACAGCATGAATCATGAAACGGCAATATCAATGTACATATATTTGTCATATTCCATACATGCAATATGGAAATAAATGTTGTTATTGTTGGAATTGAAATTGAAAAAAAATCACCAGAGTGCTTCAAACAAACAACAACATAAAAAGTCTACCGCTGAACATTTTCAATTTGGGAAAAAGCTGTGGTTCATCGGCCCATGTTCTGGCTGTTGAGCAATTTCCAAGACGACGTCTTGACTTTTTTCCTTAGAGTTTTCAAAATAGACAATATTATTTAGAAGGAAATGACAGGCAAGAATTAAAGACCTAAACTTCACATTGACACATTTACCGATCAACGATCAGTCCCCAATGGTATGGAAACACGTTTTCATAACTCAGACATTGACGTAGACAGGAAAATTGGATCAGGTTCAACTTTTTTGACTGTCTGCACTGAGCCTCCAGTGAGTTTTAGGGCATCAGACACTCATTTTGCCCATTCTCTTTGTAACATTTTACATATGCAGCTCCTTTTCTAAGTTTCAGATGCCTTTTTGTTTATTTTTTGGGGGGTGGGATGACGTCACAAAGTCTCTTCCACAACTATCTGCGTCCTGACGTCTTATGTGCCGTCAGCATTCCTTACAACCATATAGTAACCAGGCTTTACACAAGGAGTTATACACAACAGCCTGGCAGAGACCTGTAGAAATCTGAAGCAGTTGAAAGGCCACTGAAATTGTGTTTTATCCACGATCTTACCTTCACCATGATGTTCAGCATTGCCCCTGGGTATGAAACGGTAACTTTTGGCTTCTTTGGATTGGTCGTTTTGACGGTGTAGTTCTCTGGGAAGCTGGCAGGCAACACACACCAGATACCGTCCGTGTCCAGCTCCAACGGCCGTCTGATTGATATACAAATCTCAATAATACATTGACAGCCAAATTTGACTGACCAATCAAAGTGCATGATTTCTGATCAGTACATCCAATGAATGAACATTAAACAACGGCATGGGCTTACCTTCTTAAAATCTGCAATATCCTCTACAACATTAATGCGAGTTTTGAACTGAGGAATGTTAGGTTTAGACTATCATTCTCCGCACACAAATGTATAAACTTTCTACACCATCACACCCAATCAGTATGGACGATCTACAAAAGCAAAGATTGGTTCCAAAACATGAATTTAATTTTTGAACAATTGGGGGCAGTTGGGTTCAGACTATGAAAATCTGTGCAAAATTCTACCGACTGTATACACCACTACACAGAGACAGCATGTATCATTTACGTAAATCTCCGAATTGGTTTGCGTTCAAGGGTTGCTTACCCTATCTGTTCCACTATTTCCCTCGCTCTAGTGATGATGCTGGCACCGGTGTAGCATACAATACCAGCCATCTCCATGGAGTACCAACGAGCACTGATGACAAAAGATTGGATTCAATTGATGTCATAAAACAATGCTTCACATTACAGCTAAGTACACTACGATGCGATGTAATTTACTAATTCCATCATTGAGCCTGTTCGGTATTCCAATGGCGCATGCACAAAATGATAGGTCATTTGGAATAACGAGCGTATGCACTCAAGCTCAGACCTATCGATATGGCTTATGCCAACTTGTGTATACTGCACATTCTCTTTGCCTTTTTAGGTCAAGCATTTTTATCCTGAATGAACTCAATTGGTTGCAATACCGCAACGGCTTGTTTCAACATAACAAAGAACACCGGGCATGCTCAGGGGTGTGACTGGCCACTTGAAATTAAAGCTGAAAACAGCTAGCCAAAAGATGAAATGTATATGTAAAGATTTCTACTCTTTAGTACACACCAGGGGCTAATTTCATAGAGCTGCTTAAGCACAAAATTTGCTTAAGCGTGAAAAAGCCTTACTTGACAAAGCAGGTCACCAGCCAAAACTCCACGTGATGTATATTGTTTTGGAATGGTATTCATCTGCCTTTTGGTTAGCATGACAATCACGTAGATTTTGAGCTGGCAACCTTTGCTTTTTAAGCAAGGTCATTTTCCACTTAAGCAAATTTGTTGCCTAAGCAGCTCTATGAAATTGGCCCCAGGTGTACAAAAAAGCTAAAATTCAGGGTCGTCATCTATGTATATAAAAAGCTGAAATCAGCTAAAAAGCTGAATTCTCACACCCCTCAACACATAACGCTCAAAACGCACGGTAAATATACCATCCTACAACTTCAGAGTTTGGAACCCTTTTGATCTATTTCAAAAACACTGGTGCACCATTTTCTTTCTGATGTATCTTTAAACATGGCATGACTTCCTCTACTTTCGACAGGTACAAGAAAATGAATCTTAAGCTTACCCCTTCCTCATGACATATCCGTAGAATGAGTTGAGGATGCATTTATGAGCCAACTGTAGTGAGTCATACAAGATCTCTTTGTTTTTGGCGCTCTTTATCTCGTTGGCATCTCCTTTCTCAGTGGCTGCCGCCACTTTTCTCTTCCAAACCTTCAGAATCGCAAAGAACAAATTCTTGGAATTTGACAAAAGCAATTTTCCTCTCCTTTTTTGGCAGGGCGTTTAACATTACAGAGGATGCCTGTAAACCTATCATAAGCCATCAACATGTTAAAAAAGTGAAACCCCAGCACTAACCTTTTTGCGACTCTATTAAAACTTTTAAGAGAAGGAGCAAACTTTCTGAAAGAGAACATCAACTTTGGTAGCAGATCAAGAGAAACAATGTTAACTTGCCTTGAGTAGTCCCTTGAACTCGTAGCGTCTGTCTCTGAAGGCTCGGACCGTATCCACATAAAAGGAGTTTTCCCTCTGGCAGATTGTTGTAGTTCGCTCCTCTTGACGTGTCACTTTGGTCTTCTTGTACGCTTTCCGACAGTAATCTTAAAAAAAGGGAAATTCCAAATTAAAATGTATATAAAGGATCCTTTCTTATTAAAAGCAAATTTAAAAAGTGAATAAAAAACGATAATGAAATGCAGAAAATCCCAAAGCATTTGTTCCTCTTACTTTTTTTCCACATTAAACTATAAAAATGGTCCTCACTTGGCAACCACTTGGTACCACACTTTTTTTCCCACATCAAACTATGAAAATGGTCCTCACTTGGCAACCACACTTTTTTTCCACATCAAACTACGAAAATGGTCCTCACTTGGCAACCACTTGGTACCACACTTTTTTCCACATCAAACTATGAAAATGGTCCTCACTTGGCAACCACTTGGTACCATACCCCTGAAACTGTTGTTTCCCACATTTCTCTCCATCCCTTGATCTCTTGACTAACCTGACAAGCGTTTCTTCTCCATGGCAGCCTGTTCCTCACGGGGTATCTCATGGAAGACCCTTGTAGGTTCTCCAGGGTTGAGGGGAGGAATCTTCTCCATCTCCAGTTGTTGCTTGATACGGTGATACTCTCCTCGAGATGCAGGTACTACAAGACCAGAGGAGTTTAATCAATGATAAATATATGGTGGCAGAAGTATGATCCAGGCTTTTAGAGCTGAGAGGAAAGATGGACTCATGTCATGGTCATGGGATTACTAGAGCCCGAGGAAGTAATTGTATCAATGAAAACATGAGAAATTATAATATAATTTGATAGACTGCATCAAACTGAGCAACGTCTTGGAAATTAAATTTCTTAAAGTTTCATAGATATCATTCCAATGTAAAAAACACTTTTCAATGTTAAAAATATTTGTGATTATAAAGATGAACAAAGAAATTGACCAGAGTGGGATTTGACCCTGCGGCCTCCAGAATACCGTACCGTTCAGAGGCCGCAGGTTCAAATCCCCCTCCAGTCAATTCCTTGGTTCATCTTTACAATCATTTGTAAGCACTTAGTAACTTTCCCTTTATAATTTGTTTCATGAAATATACTTGAGAACAGTGCCATTTTAGCAGTGTGAGTGAACGAGAATGCAACACTTCTTGCAAGATATTACCTAACACTATAAATCGAATAAACAATTGCAATCCCAGTGTTTTCTACTCAATGATTTTCATTAAAACTTCTATACTTCCCATAACAAGCAGGCCTGAAAAGAATCTCACAGGATTTGTTGCTTAAAATGACTAACAAATTTAAGTCACCTCAATTTGGGACAAAAGATGACAGAAATCTTACAGAAATCTCCCCTCCACATCCAGGGCAACCGGCGTTGGCAGCGTGCTCCGGGCTTGTTGAAATCACAGGCTGCACACGTCACCTCATCCACCATGGCAGAAGGCTGTCCACGAAACAAAAACAGCAAAAACATACTCTAAATAAATACATTCGAAAATGCTGCACTAATCTGCCCTGAGTTGAAGTACACCCTCACCGGCGAGAGAAAGAAAGGCTGGTACGAAATTTTCCAACCGGGCTCTTGCACACATTCAGCGTGCATGCGAAGACCTTACATTCCAGGATACATTTGTTACGCATACTCAGCGTGCCCCACGTCAAACACTCGTAAACGTGCACGCCTATGCGGTGAGTTCGTACAAAAGGACTGTCGAGCTCTCTTTTGTTCCTGCTCGGAGCGAATATAAAGTATCATTAATTCTTTAAAGGCCTTGGTATCTAAGGAGTCACCTTAATTACACAGTGATTTTTAAAAGAGTTCTGATACAGTTTTTGGTCAAGGCTTACCTGCAGGCGGTTGGTCAAAATGATGTTTGGGTACATGGCACCAACGTCCAAGTGATAGATGATGGGGTTCTCAAGTCGAGCTGGGGTGTCTCGTAGAGCTGCCAACTTCTCCTTGATATCAGTGCACACCTGCAATCAAAACCAAATCGCTCAAGTTGCTCAATCGAAAAGGATGGAAAACAAATTCTTTACTGTTATAATATTCAGGGTTTGCATATACCTGTGCAATAAACTTTCACTGCTGAACAAAGAAAGTTTAACGTCGGTACATCCAGTAGAATAGGAAGGACATTAGTCACATATCAGTATAAAACATAACCAACACTGAGGCATAGCATTGCCCTTATGGGAAAAACATGTCCCTGCATTGCTCGTCTAATTCATATGGTCCTAAGATAAGGGCGTAGATTATGACAGACTACGACTTAACCCTAACCCTGCCAAAGGTAGCACAGTGCATCAGGTGAAACAGTCTGATGCACTTTGTTGCACTTGGCAATGAACATCAGCCATACAAACAGGCCATGGTGAGACAATGGGAGGTACATGTATGCCACTGTTGGATGTTGTGACTGGCAACCACAGACTCCCAGGCCGTTTGACCTTTGGGAGAGTTGACCTGTTGGATTTTGTTTACACTGGGCAGGCAAGCCACTTTGACAACGATGCAATTAGATGCATCTGGCAGGGTTCCTAGCCAAAGTACCCTGGAGAGTTAGGGTCAATCGTTACAAATGATCATCCTTCAAATGAGATGTTAGGCTCGGCCTCTTTAGGGTAGCCTGGCAAAGTGAAGGGGCAAAAACTCTTCTGTTAGCAAATTTTTAGGACTACTTTAAATGATTTTATTTTTTGTGTCCCTAGAACACCTTGCATTAATACTCATAATGACCATCATTCAACAGTTATGTGGGTCTACACCAGTATGAAAAAACATCAAAGAACTCAGAAAGCTTGACATGGAAGAGAGATAAAAGTTTGCCCAGGGGCTTTGGTGGACAACTTCAATGTCCAAGATGCTTCTCATAAAATTTGCAGTTGATTTCTTGGTGTACATTACTCCACAATGTACGTAGATGTCATAATAATCACCTAAACAATTGTCTGAACCCCTCTTCCACTAATACTTTGTCATTACACAAAAATAGTTTCGTACAATGCGGTGTCCAATACTGGAATAGCCTAAATGAAACTATAAAAGCAGCCCCCACTTTATTAACATTTGCTCTAAAGTTGAAAAATCTAATTGTTTCTGAATACACCACCTGTACGGACTAGAATTGTATTTTGATGCATTGAATTATCTTCTGCCTGTCAGTGTTTGTGCGTACGTATATCATTGCCAAAAACATGTTCATGTCTTGTATTGTCCTATGTTATAAAATGTATGTCTGTCAATAGGCTAGGGTACAAAAGCAAATCTATGCTTCACCCTTTACCTAAATGTTGTTCTTTAACGTGTTAATTAATTTATGTGTTAATAAAAAAAAAAATATGGAAACCATTCTGTGATGCTTTGTTTCTTCTCATACCTCATCAAAGTTGGTGACGGTTTCCAAGGGGATTTTTTCCTCTTCTTCGATGGCGTGACGCATGGTCCGCTCAACACTTTCCATCAAGGTCTGAAATGCTTCGGGTACCTGCAAAATTTGGTCACAGTATAATGCCGTTAACTCATCACTAATATTAATGGGTATTTTAAACAAGCAATCCTCTTGATGCCTGAAATGTTTTTGACGAAACCATGCTGCCATTGGAAGTTTAAAACTCAAATCGTAGTGGACATTCAATAGCAAACCTTTGTAATTAACTTCCAAGTGTCAAAGGAATAACATGTAAGGCAACATCGGGCTGTTCTGCCTTTGAAAGTTTTAAAGTCCTCCAATCCCATGGGTAAATTTTGGGGAACATGAAAGGATTTGAAGGTATCAATGTTAAACCTGACATTGACAGACCTGCCTTTGTTTGCCATGACCGCTTTCACGAATCCAAACAGCCAGGGTCCACCTAACAAAAAGGGTCAAAGAACTTGGAAAAAGACATTTGCGACCCACCATTCTGAATCGGCATGGCAGATCGCTTCGGAACACTCCCGATTCTAAGGCCTCCACGTGACCGCCGACATACGTCTCCGAGTCCAGCACGTGACCATCGCTGGTCATCTTGTTGTAGACAGTATCTTGCTTGTTAGGAAAGATGATGTTGGCGTGGAAGGCTTGAACCATGAGAAGGGCCTCACAAAGGGTTCCTGAACCTTTCCTTAGAACCTAGAAAATGGTTGACACAAGGTGAGATCGAGAGCTTCAAATGAATAAAGGCTTTTTACACTGTGAGGGAAAAGGGCATCTCAGACATAAGACAACAGGTTAATCTTGTGAAGTCTTGTGGAAGTCTGAAGGGGATTGAAATTGTACATGGTGGAATTCTATCGGAGATAAAATCCTACAGACACCTTCAAGGTGACAAAACCTAAAGCTTCCAACTGGGAGAATGACACAGGTCGCAAAGCCTAGGAACGACCTGAAAAGAAAAGAAAAAATTCCAGTGCAGTGATCTATGGCAATTTGTGGATGGCAGACCTTCCAACGGGAACCTCCAGATGAATGAAATAATCTCATACTACATGATCCGTATACCCTATTGGCTAACGAGATGCCCTTAACTGTTAGCTTGCGCGCATTCTTCATCTTGATGCGATCTCCCGTTAGGCAAGTCACAGCACCCAAAAGGTCAAAGAGGTATCCAACCTGTGTATACCACCTGCCAGTACGCACAGAGCAAGCACAATGGTGGTGGTGGATCAGAGGATAGCGCTCACCTCATCAGGTTCCATTGGAATGATGGTGCACAATGCGAAGATGAACGGGTGCACATACTTCATGTACAGGTAGTACGTTGCTACGGCATCCGAGACTGAGTAGTTGGCAAGGGCTCCCGGTTGCTCGGATGCCATGCGACACATCTCTTCCGGATCCAGCTCCACTGGATCGTAGCGAAGCTTTGCCTTGGTGGCAGCCTTCAGGTTCTGACTCCCGACAGGCAGGTAGCTGTCGCGCTTCACCCATCTTGAAAGAGCAAGGGAAAAAGTCAGTTTCATCCCCTTATCTTGATAATTGTTACATGAGGCCCTCCATAGAGTTAACTTGCCAGAAAAAGGTCAGAGACAGTGAACACGAACCACTTGATTTTGGTCTGCCTAAAATCAAGTCTGTCACAAATAAATTTGGCTGATTTATGTTGCCAGTGTCCTTAACACAAAATGACTAAAAATATTTCTGTTCCACACAATTTGGACGTGATCCTTTGAAAGTTTACTCTCCAGTTCCAGGTTTTGATTGTGAGTGACAAAAACCAGGTATGGGGTGAAGTGGCTTGCACATGACCAGAACATGTGACCAGCAGCTGGCTTCAAACACCCAACCCTGTTATCATTAACCAAAAACCCCTTACCACTTGGCCACTCCTCCATTTTATGTGTGAAACAACAGTGTTCTGCTCCAACAAAATTGAGTAATTATCAATTCCATGAAGGGTGGGAGTAGAACCCAAGCCTTCCCTGATGGTCCATACCTGAAGGCATCCATGTGGATGCAGTGTCTGGACTTGTACTCTCCTTGGGCGTCTTTCTGGAAGCCAATCTCCCTAAACATGTCAATGTTGTGCACCTTGCAGCGTGCCTCAACAAAGGGCCTGAAAGAAAAGACACCATTTGAAAAGACAAAATGAAATTGTCTGAATAGTTTACAGTTCTGCATATTGCCGGCAATCTGTAGCAAATGATGTCATGCACGCAAAATCCATTTTCACTGAGGGAAATTTATCATAAGAACACGTCCAATTCAGCGAGTGAAAAAGGCGACAGGACTCCATCCTTATAGCTTGTACTCTAAACCTACCAAATATCTTCATGATCCCATTTTTCTAGACACTGGTTAATTATTTTAAAACAAATGATTCCACTTTTAAAGGTATTATAAGGAAGCTGCCAAGGATACCAAAACAAGTGGCATTAATTAAAGATGTTCCCAAGTACAAAACTGACCAATCAGTGATAACACTAATCAAACAGAATTTAAACTGACCAATCAAAGCTGTCTCCGTTGTAGGTGACGATGATGTTTGGCCTGACCTCCAGGATGTGATCAATAAATCGCTGCAGGAGACACGGCTCATCGGCCTCGTTGAAGATTGTGAAAGGTCCCTCGTACTCTGGCTTAGGGGTGTACTCAAAATCCTCCACATCCTCCGAGACAATTTCTCGGTTTGTGATGAGATAGCCCTAGGGACAACAAACGCTGAAATTATTTTTCAAGATAAACCCCAGGTACATGTAGTTTTACTACCCAGGCTCTTGTATTCACCTCAGTCCATCACCATGCAGAGTTCTGATCTTTTTTTGCCAACCAACAAAGCTGGGACATTGTCATCATTATTGTTGGAATCTGCGATTGGATTTAATACTAGGTTTCTCCCTCTTTCACCGATGTGAGGAGACGATAGCTTCAAGGATTCGTTATTCTTGCGGGGCCCTAAACTTTTTGTAACATTTCCTAAAAAGCTAAAAAAGTGTCTCGGCAATGGAATCTTTTTAATACAACCTGGGAATTTGCATCTTTGTGTGTCATTAAGTCTAAGTTCCAATGTTTGGTTTACTATTTCAAAGGGTATCTGCTGCTTATTTGGTTCTTATGCTCATGAATATTTCCATATTGGAGTAGTGGAAACAGCTGTTTTCCATTTTTGTTGTTTTCACGTTAATTTCAATTTTAATGTGTATTTTTCTGCGTGTATATGTAATCTTTAGTTTTTGTTCTAACTGTCTGTATTTTGTTCGTCCTCAGTCTTGCCTTCTCCTCTTTCAATTTTGTTTTTGACATGGGATGTTTATCATACTGAATGTTTTCATTAATAATAATATCGATGAGCAAAGTTGAAATGTCATCTCAGTAAGAAAATCTCAATGTTGTATTTGATTGTGCCCAAACAATCTTCCCTTTTTTCAGATTTTGCTGGCCGAAATTTTCTTTGCTTTGGTTATTCATTGTTGTGAAAGTACAAAGCAATACGCAGCAAGCAACCCTTCCTCAGAAATTTTTCTCTGAATACATTCCAGGTTCACAAATTGAATAAAAAACCTAATGCACTGAGCCATGTCTTCTCTGAATGACATCACACTAACAGCGCCCTCAGTTGTCTATGAAAGCACAGAGGATTTTAAATGTTTCAAAAAGTTTACATTTCAATGTATTACCCTAATAGAGATTTCAAACAGTTTTTTAACAGAAAACAAAATTACAAGAAATTCCATCTGCGAAAAATTTGCTGCAGCTCCACTTTTACAATTCTTTGTTTTGATTGTGTTCTCTGTGTTATCTGTAAGATGTTCTCTGTTATCTGTAGATGCCTAACCATATGCTTTGGGTGTTCTTACAGATGTACCTGGCCACTAATCAAGCTTCACTTCAACAATTCTTCCTTGTTTTGATCGTCTTCTATGTGTAGTTATCTGTCAATGCCTCACTTTGTTCACTGCATGTTCTTACCTGACCATCAATCATGTAGGAGATCATCATGATGGAATCGATTTCAGCGTCGGGAAACTTCAAAGGCAGCTTGGTGGTTTCAATGTCAAAAGCCAACACCACTGGATCCTGAATGGAACAAAGACAGAACAAAGAAAAGATTGCAACCAGAGTTCTAAGAGTCAGGAAAATGGTGAGGCAGTGCCACTGCTTGCTCTTTGTTCTTTCCCTGAGGGATACTTTCAATTACAGGGGGTGAAGCTGATTGAAACACTACACATAAATGAACATCCAAAACCTATCACCTTTAGAACTGTGTCAATTCTCTGACACTCCTCAACATAATGGGTGAGCTACACCCAAGTACAAGCTTCACACATGTGATGGGCATGTCAGCTTGATGAGATGTGTCACAAGTCCAAATGGGTTTAAGTGACTTTGTCGTTTTACCAGCACACATTCAAAGCTTGAATATCAGCAAAGGACAGGTTCGTACCATCTTGACACTTGCTTATTTTTTGAGTGTGTCTTTTGGAATGTACGGCCTATACAAATTTGCTGGGCGCTCAGTTAAAATGGTTTCCATCAGCCTCTCTCACTGCCTGCTATGAGGGCATACTTCTACGCAGAGCTGATACAATTGAGTACAGTTGAAAACTGAAAATATGAGTGCTCGTCATACAGCATCCTGTTATTAAACATTACCGAGGAAAATCTTAGTCCCAAGTCTCTGCATTCTTGGTTTTCCAATACTGATCATACAAAATCCCTTTTCAAAAGCGAATTCGGAAATTCTCAAAGACTCATCAAGACCTAATTTTAAAGGTGTTCAAATTGAGTGGTGTAGTCAAGATCTGTCTCAGACCAACGTAAGACCTCCATTCTGAATTCATATATCCAGCACGATATATGGCAGAGGGACGCCCCCAATGTGATGCACAAGCCATACACCCTAAGGCTATTGTGCCTACCGCACCCCCCCCCGGAAATCTAAAATTCCAAAGATTCCGTCAACACAAAAGAAGACACAACAGAGGGGGGGTCCCATTTGCCACATATTGTGCACCAACTGTGAATTCATGTCACAGGCTATTCCAAACAAACTGCAACAAAAGCATTCTTTGTCGACGTTCAACCGGTTACCTGTGAGTGGTCTTGTGTCAGTTCTTGTGACCGTTTCAACTACCATCATTGTCAATAAAGCACTTACCGGTCTGTCCAGGAGATCGTCCCTCTGGGTAATGATGGGAGGCATGGCTCCCCGACCTTGAACAGAGTACCAGTGACCCTTCAAATCAGACCACAGACAAAAAGAGAGTTATTCTCCGCTTTTCCGTCAATAGACACTCAAACATACCCACAAAAAAATCACCCATTCCGATTTGGGCTTTGTCTTGGATAATAATGATAACTGATGGAACCCAATTAAGACACGTGTTCAAAACTTCTGAACCGCATTAATCATCAGGCATGCACCTTGGACTCTGACCAAAAAAAACAAGGAAATTCCTATCTTTACAAGACCTTGTGCAGTGTTTTTCAATTTTCAATGGCATGACTGTGAAGTGAAAACACGAGAAAAAACCTGAATCCTGAGAGAGGGACAAAGCTAAGGTTGGGAAACAAGGTAGTGCTCTCACAACTTTCTGAGCATCCCAATCTCTTGAATTCTTTAGTTTTTTATTTCAGTCCTTTACTAATATGCTGATTTTGTCAAGGTAAATTAAAGCTGATATAAGCAACCTGCTTAAAGCCAAATCTGGTGGCCATGGTAAAGCTATCGATGGACATTCTGGATGGCCCCTATCAATGGCAAAAGGCCCAGTGACAATCATTGTAAGTGGCACTGGCAGTCATTCCGAAGAAAACACTACACTCCACCATTGAAGGGGGCCATCGAGAACATCCGGAGACAACATTGGTGGATTTGTTGGTGAGGGATAGACTCTATTTGAAACAAATATGCCTGCATACACAATGCATCCTTCAATGGAGACAACACAGGACCATATCAAGCTACAATGCAGTGGCATTCACTTGGAAACCAAAACAAAAGGCTAAATGGTTGAAGTGCCATACCACGTGAATCTTTTTATCGATGGCTACTCTGACGTGATAGGGGACATCGTATTCCCGGATGTCAATCAGGTTGTCCATCTGATCGGCAAGTTTCTTCTGGTGGCCTGCTGAGATCTCCTCATCTCCCATCAGGTGACTGCAAGAAAAAGTGACAAAGCTCATATTTGACAGAAAAAGGAAACGAACCTAAGACCAGTGCACAATGCCAATGGAAAGAATTCCAAATATGGACATCACTAATATTACCTTGAAATTACCTATTACCCATCCAAAACTAATAAATGTGATAAAAAGTCAAATTTAGCAGTGAAAATATTGAGGTGTTTACTACAGTTGACATTGTTCAGACCAGTCGCGTAGGGTTTGAGCACAGGGTGTCAGGCGGCATCACAAAATTCTTCCCTTCCAGTGCTCCATCAGCTGGGAGTTAGGCCAGTGAAGCTGGTGGTAATCTGAACCTAGAACCCTTATCTTACCTGGATAGCATAGAAGCATACGAGTCACTGGACTTCTCCCGTTCCTGGTTTTTCTTGATGGCTGGCATCAAACTCCGCCGTACTTTCATCAGCTCCTGGGTGCTTTCAAAGGAAAGCTTCAGGTATTTCCGCTTCAGACCGACCAAATGATTTGGCTGCAAAATATCAAGACGTGATAAAATTAGAGACACCTGTAACTCAGCATCCACGAATTCTGCTCTTAACCCAAAATCTTCCAGAGTATTTGGGTAAGAAATCCCAGCCAAAATGCATCAATCTCCCTCATTTGTCAAAGTGACTTGCTTGTAAGGTGCAAGGAGATCCCACAGGTCGACTTTCCACGAAGCTAAATTGCCTGGGAGTCCCTAACACACTGTCTACAACCAGCCACAACAGGATCCAACAATGGCTTTGCTCACTGGGGCTATAGGTCCCACAGTGGAGAAAGTTCTAAAGAAAACAGTTGGACTCAGCTGGACAGAGCAAACTGCCCAAAACATTGAATCTACCAGTTACCTTTTAGAACTTTACTCAATCACAAGAGTGATTAACATGGCCCTAACGTAAGCCTTCGTCTCCTTCCACACATAGCAAACCTTCAAATCATTATGTGGCAAAAAGATTTTTAATTTTCCAAAGGGAGTGTGATTCCTGAATATACTCACCAGGTCTAGATCTTCCTTAGAGACTGTCTCTATGGAGGCCATTGTGCCCGTGAACTTCCGAGACAGGAATGAGGAGACCTCCCTCTCTGTGTCTTTCTTTGATGCCACATAGAAGTAAGGCTTGAACGGAAGAGAAACCTGAAACGGCAAACGACCAAAGATCCATCACAAATCACACGCTAATCAAAAGTTAAATCATATCTTTGCCTTTGTACTGGAATGCCATTGTTTCTGACATTGCCAATGCCAATGAGACTTGATTTGCCAGTGGATGATATGTGAGGAATCACTCTAAAACACTGCATCTTAGCTTTATCCATCTTCCTACAATTCAACACGGACATCTTTCCTGGATGCTACAAGAAATGTTCCATCAGCTACTTTGACATCTAAAGCTTCAAATCATTCTGATCTATTCTGTTCTATTGCAATTTCTTAGAGACTCTCACACTATTGGCTGCGTGCCAAATCGCTTTTATAACCAGATTAAAAGACATTCAGGGGAATCCGAAGAACAAACCTTGAATTTGCTTCCGTCTTCTTGAATAAAGTAGTAATCCACAGCGCTTATCAATTTTTTGTTCTCATCCAAAATATCTGCCTGCAATGTTTAAAATGAAAAAATTGTGTTTATTAGAGCATCCCTGTGGAAACATTTCATTACATCTACCTAAACCAATCCTCATAAACTCATGAGTGTTTCTTTTGAGGAATTAGGACGGTCTTGCCGGCAAAATCCTGGCAAAAAGGGGATCTGTGCAGTATATCTGGGCCGGAAAGGATGAACATTATTTATAAAATCAGGAAACAATCAGCCTTTTTTGTGCTTTTCCTTTCTTGATGACACCTTTCCAATCTTACATGGAAACTGCCTAATACATCAAATCTTTTTACAACAGGGATTAACACAGCGAAAGTCAAATCTGGACATATTGGCAAGTATATATATAAATCTCAGATAATTTACTTATTCTTTTTGATCAAGTGGGTGACATGCATAGTTTTAAACAGCTTACTAACCCTAGAGTTCCCTAACCACACAGAACTGAACACCAGCAAAGTGTGTGAATTTGTGGCACTGGGTACTCTACCCTTAAACTGCTTGTGCTTAAACATGGGTTCAGGCATACCCAAAATAAACGGAGTCCAACAGTTTTTGTGCACAGTTTACCAAATGGTGTTGGAATTTGTGTTAATGGGTATGGTTCCTAGTAAATCACTCTGGGGAGTTGGGGTTAAACTACAAACTCTCATACTGTTCCTGCCTCTGGAAGCAATCACAACTAGGTCAAGCAGAGACAGGCACAAAGTGTATTCAGACAGGACACTCACCGGGTGCATGTTGATTAGCCAACCCACTCTTTCGGCAGGGTCCTTGTACCGGTCAAATCCAAACCGTGCATCCAGTTCATCATTGATGACCGCCCTCTGCAGGCGAACCTCTGACGAATCGTCTGACCTGGATAAACAAGGGAAAATGGTAGGCCGACTGGTAGAACTAAATTTTGAGCTATTTTTAGATCCCGTTTTGCAGATAACATTGATTTCTTCTCCGCCGAAAACTTCAATACAAATTGCTCTGATTGATTAAATTTACAGGAACCATGCTACCCCAGGTTTTAATGAAACTTTCCTTTCATTTTGTATCTCTAAAAGCGGATCGAAGAGAATCTTGCACTGAGGTGTTGAATTAGGTGGGGAGGCAAGTTCAAATCTGCTGATGAAACGTTTACGTGAAAAGAATGCTGAAGTTTACTTTATGCATGAAAATTCTGCCATTAAAAATCTCTGTCGATTCGCTGTGGCAAATTATACGTTTACTATGGCGATATTCCAAAATAGCCACTGGAAATAGTTTTGCCATAGATTCCAACGGTAATGGCAATGACGGCCATGTCGTACGTGGGGGCCGTTGCATGCACGATATGGAAAGCATTAGACTGGTTCTGATGAAAGAGGTAACTGTAACAGTGTTACATCAATTCGGGCCACGGCTGGTCGTAGAGTAAGTTAAACATGGCTTACGGTGTGACCTGCACAAGAGTGTGGTGCTGAAGAATGGGCCAGGCATGAGATTGCTGATGCACACGTTAAACACGGCTTACGGTGTGACCTGCACAAGTGTGTGATGCTAAAGAATAGGCCACGAGATTGCTGATGCACACGTTAAACATGGCTTACGGTGTGACCTGCACAAGTGTGTGGTGCTAAAGACTGGGCCATGAGATTGCTGATGCACACGTTAAACATGGCTTACGGTGTGACCTGCACAAGTGTGTGATGCTAAAGAATAGGCCACGAGATTGCTGATGCACACGTTAAACATGGCTTACGGTGTGACCTGCACAAGTGTGTGGAGCTGAAGAATGGGCCATGAGATTGCTGATGCACACGTTAAACATGGCTAAGTTATGCCATGGTGTGACCTGCACAAGTGTGTGGTGCTAAAGAATAGGCCACAAGATTGCTGATGCACAGGTGAAACACAACCTTGCACAATTTAACTAAGCTCTACCATCTTCCAAATTCTTGATAATCTGGTCATCGTGGTCTAGCCCCACTAGTGTGGCACGGACTCTCACTCCCGATCCATGGATCGGGAGTGAGAGTCCGTGCCACACTAGTAGTGGGGCTAATCGTGGTCATGCTGGCGCGCTAGGCCTAATGCAGTGAAAACTTGTCGCCCAGCAGCAGAAAATGCTTCCCTTGATTGATGTTAAGAAGGAATAGTGTTTCCAAATGGGATAAAAAATAAACATTCAACTTAAACATGGCCTATTCGGTGTTCCCTACGACACGGGCCTACCTGTCCGGTACGTCCCAGCATGGGCCAAACGTTCGAGTGACGAAAATGACAAAGCTGTCATACAAAAAATAACCATTTTCAAACAATTTACCTCCCACTTGACGCTTCTTTTTCGGCTCTGTACTTGCCACTGTTCTGCAGCACCATCATGTGCTTTTCTTTCACGCCAAAGTGATTCTAAAATATACAAAAATGTTGCATTTGCTGGGCATATACTGGGGTCCTGTTGAGTCCAACCTTCGCGGTATTTCTTCGTTTTTGGCGCGCCTGGGTGGTCCGCACTTGCGTACTGGTTCTCATCTTCGTGGTCTTGCACCAAGACGGGGTTTACTCTATTGGCTGGTGCATGCAACGTGCAGGCGACATGCTCTGGCAAGCGCAGAAGAATAGCACTACCAGTAGAGGGCGCTATATTCAAACTGTAAACCAGTCTTGGAGCAAGACTACGGGCCGGGTTGCCCCCGTAAAAGTAAATTTCCATAGACACCAATGATAAATCCTTGTTATTTTAAAATCATTTTAAAAACACTCACAACTATCTTAGGTGTCCAGGCTGGACAGAAAACAGATGTTTGACATGTCCTCTTTCATTTTGCTTTCAGTTTTTAGTGGTTCACTGGTTATCTTGATCAATATTGGATGAAAAAATAAAACGTAGTGAGGGTATTTTCAGTAACGCGGAAGAAAAATAACAAAATATCGCTTGTGTAGGGCACTGGGCGAGCTCACGCGACTGGCAGAAATTTATAATGCTCTGTGCGTCGTCGGCGGTGACCCCGTGTGACGTATTTCCTTCACCAAAATCTATATTTGTGCAGGGCCATCAGCCCTTCCCAGCGCCATGTTCGGGCGCTTGACAACAAGCGAACGTTGAAAGCTAAAATAACTGAAGGTTGAGGACGAGGCTGGAAGACAATTGGGGGGGGGGTTCCCAATCGGCTAGTAGACTCCATTCAAGTCTCTTGATTAAAGTTTTCTTCCAATGTTACTTCTACTCCCCATTTCCTTTGTGGCAGTGAAAAGGGATAAAAATAAACGTTCGGTTTTTGATGCCAGCACAATTCCCGTATTCATGAACTAAAGCGAGATGTAAAAAGCAGTCCTGTAGTCGCTAAATGTGGCCAACATTATTTCCTCTTGTATACCGTACGTGGTCTCGTACGAAGATGAACTTTACAGAATGAATCTTCATGCCATCGGTAAAAGTGAAACTACTAAAACAGCTCAAACTATTTGATGTTGATGTATGTTTGAATTTCATAGCTTAAAGTACCTTCTTCAATGAAAGATTTTAATGTTTACCTTTAAATTTGCTGACAAGAACTAAGTCATGTCAACTCAAAGGAGTCTGGAACCTATCGATTCCAGGTAGGTATTTGCAACGTTGTACAATCTCGTTTTCACGTCAGCAAGTTTTGACAACAAACACACATGAACAAGGAGACCTACGAACGATATTGCCGGAAGTGAAAGGTCATCAAATTCGGGTTGTGCCCATCTCCAGGTGACTGAAATATTACTTGAAGAGGACAAAGAATTCCAACATGAGATGATTTAGAACGTGATAGGACGACTCAATGCAAAATCCCATCGTCGGACCAGAATCTCGCTGCGTGACCTTTTGCTTTTAGGTTTTATACAACAAGACGNAATTACGAGACAAAATTCTCGTGTACCGTCATCCAAGGTAGAAAACACCTATGTACAAGTATGTCACACTTTTCGACATGTTTTTAATTGAAGTATAAGTTTCATTTTAGATTTTATCGTGTGAAACGATTTTCTAAGAATAGAAAAACGGATGGTGTAACTTAATTGTTCGACAACCTCATGCTGTGTATAAATTTCACAAGTGATCTGTGCTCCGCCACATTTCACGCTTCTGGGGGAATGCAGATGGCCAACGTATATCGTTTGCGCAGTAAATTTTGGATTCATTTGCTCACCGGAGCTCTAATTGCTGACTAGATTTAAACATTGGGGCACCCCCCCCCGCTGTTGCTACGCCCCTGTGAATGACAGTGCGCGCGGTTCGGATCAGGGCGCGCTTGTTAAGTCTGGGCACTAATACAAATATTGATAATAATAAACCGATATATTTCTTCATGTCTGTCAGTCCAAAATCTGTTCAAGCAACAAATGACCTTGTGTACTATACCGGGTCAGTATGGGAGTCACTTGGATTTTTTTTGGGGGGGGATGACAGTTACACCATCATATGTTGTCTATTTCCAGGTATCATCGAGCAGGTACGTGACTTTCATCTCTTTTTTTTTTCAAAGAACCCTTTCATTTCAGTTCTTTTCATTCCCCCCCTTTTCTATTGTTTTCAAACAAATATTTTTGGGTGGAGGTATGGATCCTCTGATCCCCCTGTTTGGCATGAAGTCCATATACCCCAGTGATGCCCTCGATTTGTGCACGTTTACATTGGTTGTAACAGGGCTGTAGACACGTTGTTTCACTTCAAATAGTCTGCAGTCATCAAGGTGGATTGCTTATCAGAGTCTATGGTCTGTGCAAACAAAACTCGGGCAAATTCCAATATTTCTGTCAGTGTTTGTCCATTTCACCCTCCGTGTACGCAGTGCAACAGGCGACATTTTGTTTGACACATCAAGTTATTGCTTGCTGGCCCCTTCCTGTTGCAATTATTGTACGTTTTTAATTACATTATTCTGAGATCTCTGGACCTTACGACGCCAGGTGAGAGCTCTGTAAAGTTTGGATTCACGCAAACACAATGGGTAACTTCTTGTTTAATTTTTACATTTTCTTCCAACCTATGGCTATACGGTATACGTGTGTTTTGCACATAAGACCTACCCAGGTGTGGCGAGATCTTCTTCTAATAAATGCAGTACATCTCAAGTTGGAAAATAGTGGTTATGAAAAGGCCTACCACAGACGCTAAGTATTGGGTCGTATGAATAAAAACTAACAAATGCTATGAAGTTCAAGCAAGCAGTAAAAGCATTTACTGAGAGGTAAAAGCATTAAGAATAAGCAATTGCTTGAATTTGTATGAATAAAACGTTTCTTTCACTGTTCAGCATCTCCTAGTTTAATATTAGTAAACGATTTATGCTTGTGGCTGAATGCACATCAAAATGGTTTTGCACAATAGGGCTTGCATTGTCTGCACGTACAGACACACACAGTGCAGCTTGGTGCTGTATCTTGAGACCTCATCAGCATGGCAGATAAACACGATGGCAGTAATTTGGATCGCTGAAACCTTAATGAAGAAAACCCCTTTGCCACTCTCAAATCGGTACAACTGCCTGCATCTGGTTTCTTGAGATTCCATTCTAAAGGCAGACAGCTTTTCCTTTCGAATGACATTCATGAACGCTGCCATTTTGAACATTCGTAAATGCTCCTCGTTTTCAAGCTTACCCTGACCCAGTCTTGAAAAATGTCAAGTAAATACCTCAGTTCTGTAGAACTTACTCATTTTTATTCCTACAAAATGAAGCAACTGCTTATTGTCAAGCACAAGCTTAAAGAGTGAAAAGTAAATACTTTTACTTTTTAGCAGTTCCTTAAAGTAAAAGCGTTTGCTTCATTATAATTCATACTAACACGAATAAATGCTTCAAAAATTGTAGTAAAAACAAATGCTACTTTTTATTCATACGACCCAATGTGTAAGCCACAGATGTTGGACCATGGACGCACAGCAGTGGCGTATCGAAGTCTTAAGTCGGGGTGGGGCAAAATGGAATTATTCTTAAAACGACTACTCAATCTTTCCAACATTAAACAAATTCTGTCATTCGGGATAATGCCACTTCCCAATTTCCAGTGCTTCCAAATCCTTTTTAAAATGCCACAGAATCTCCATCGGGGCAACTTGAATGTCCCTCCCCAGGCTTGCTGGACATGACGTCCGATTCAGTAGGAAAATCTGGTCACTACCGTTTTCTTGCACTCCTGTATGCATTACTACTATAGATCCTTTGAAAGGGGGTTACTATCACTTTACTACCACACGGTTGATCAGGGTGAGTAGCATGATAGGATCAACACTCCAAAAACGAAAAGAAGAAAGATGATTACGCCACCCCCCCTAATCAATGTTGCTTTCGTGCTGTTAATCATGACATGTTTGCGTCTGCCTGTTTTCCTTAATGGTTCACTCTCATTGTTGCATGACTGACTTCTCATAATTCAAATCTAGTGCCCCCTTAGAGGAAAAAATTGTTACTCAATTTTTTTCCTGTAGATTTGCGCTACACATGGCCTCTTTTCTATGGAGTAGTCCTGGCTACGTGTATTCTTGAAGGTAGGTCTAATTGTAATAATTCCTCTTTACTCAAGTAATTTATCTGTAAGTGCATTTCAGGAAAGTAAGCTGGAAACTTAACACTGGTGAATAAACACGAAATCAATTAAGGCCCAGATCTAACAAAATTAAAAGAACAAATTCAGGAAATGAAAAAATTAACACATTAAAGCTGAATAATTAAAAAACAAAATTATCTTACCCTAAAAGACCCAAGGGTGCATTTTCGCTTTTCTTTCATTTTTATTCTCAGGTTCCCAAAATAAAAACGTGAACCTCATTTTCCAGTCGGTATTATGGTCGACTTGTCAATCGCAACTCTTTCGAGTAAAGTTCATTATTTGACACACACATAACACAAAAACGCGTCATAGAGGACAAAAAATTGTAATTTGAATGAATTTCATTGCAAGGAATCATACAATGTTTTATTACGTCGTTGGTGGCGCTGTAGAGCTTAATAATTAACTGTGCTTATACGCTAGTTAGCCTTTAGAAAGGAGATGTAGGAGTGGCCCGAAGTATATAATTTTTCAATACAGAGCTTTGCATAACGCCAACAAAGTTCTATTTTTTCCCCTCTCTGTTCCTGTTTTCCCATCCCTGTCACCAGTCGGATCACTGCAGTGTTATGAATGCGTTGATATGGAGGACTTGCCAGAGTCAACGGTAGATTGCGATAACCCTGGGAAGGAGCTGCTCTTAGAATGCCTAGAGGGAACTACCCAATGCCTGACTTTTGAAGGAGTTATGACGAGACCAAACGGTACAAACCAATGTATCTTGATCTTGAAGTGGGACGTTGAGATTAGCATCGTTACATCGTTTGTTTTTTACTGTTTTACCTGATTTACAGGCATAACTTTCTGCTTTTTGGCTGTTTTCAAAAGTTCATACACTAGGGCTATATTGTACTTGCAGCCCCATAGCGATTCCCTTTTATTTATTAACCATTGTACGTAACGCGTAAAACGCCCCTCACCAACAGACAAAAACAAAATGACACAGAAAGGCAGTCAACAATATGCATGATAAAGGACAGAACACGGTCAGTATCAGCTCCAGAAATGCTGCCTATAAAACTTCCTAATTCCAGATTTCGAAAAATGAGCTAAACCAAGCGACAAACACAATGACGACAACAAGAAAAACAATATTATTAGCAGCAACAACGAACAACAATAAACAACACCAACCATAACAACAACAAATAAATAACAATAACGACCAACAACAACAATAACAACAACAAGAACAAAAAACAACATCAACAAACAAAAATAATATCAAGCAACAACAACAACATCAACCAACAGCAGCAGTGCCTTCAAGTTCAACAGCAACCAACAACTTAACCAAACAATCGGCACCAAACGGCAACTTTAAAACAAATTTCTCATCGTTGTCGCACGCAAAGCTATCGAGAAAGCACAAAGGTACACATGTACTTCCATAATTAACTGTATAAAAGGCAGAATATCATGAGCACTAAATCAATATTGAACCACCCAAAATTCACCTTTGACAGGGAGAGTGGGGATACTACCCACAGGGAAAAAGCGTTTACGGCATCCACTATAGACTTGAATCAAGTCGGACTTACGTTACGTTGCTCTTTTGTAGTCAGCCATCCCCTCACTGTACTCAGTGTACGGTCGCCGCTTGGATAGACCACGGAGGAAGGAATTCCTTCCTGCATGGATAGACGGGAGAGGAAGCCACGTAGAACGCCGTGCGTCATATGCATATTATACTCAGGACGCATAGAGTACGTACTGTACACTTTCTGAGCATAGTTTGTGCATAATTATGACGCAAGTCGTTCTGTGTGGCTTCCTTTTCCGTCTACTTCGCGCTCGGCGGCTCACATAACTACTTATATTAAAAGTGCCCTCATTTGATAGCCTTTCCGCGATATCCGGCGTCAAAGTCAAAGATTGAACAACGTATACAAAGTCCGACTTGACGGAAAAGCCAATCAGACCCCCCGTCGGTGATATGTATAGTTATTTATAATTGCATATAAACGACACGATCTTACATAATTTCATGGAATTCGACCAATCACAATATAGTCAGACCGGGAATTTCCACGAAACATATTTCGTAAGGCTTGCAAGACTCGTTTATTATTATGCAGGTAACGATGTAAACACAAATTCAGCAATTATTTGCTGCTACCGTGTTTGGTATATTAGCCGATTCCCTGTGTACAAACGGTTGACAGATTCGTCAAGTCGGGATTTCACAACTAACAGTAACAGTAGACAGACACAATAGGGCGCCAAGCCAAAGCATATCTCAGATATATCACGTAGGATCCCGAATTGATTCACGTTTATATCCAACACGACGGGATGTAACCGATCTATAAATTGCTGTTCAAATGAGCAGACAGGAGATGCTGTCTCGTCATGATTCCAATATGCAAATCTTATCAGCATGATAATGCTATCAGTTTCATGCGTACTTGAATTTGTACCAGTGGCGATAGGAACCCAGGATTTGTCGTTGGGTGAGGGGGCAGGGGGCGGGAGGGGGACTTGGACTGGAATTTATAAGTTCCAAAAAATAGCTCACGATACTCAAGTACGCCTCCCCCCACCAGGATGGGCCAAAGGGGACTGAGATTTACGGCTATACAAAAACCCTTCAAGGGGCTCAAGCCCCCCCCCCCTCGTGCCCCATCCCCAGGTGCGCCACTGGTTTGTATACATGCTCAGCTCCAGGTGATGGAATAACCGCTTATTGCTATTGGAAACTCGTGAATAAAATGAACCAAACTGTCGGTCGCACTTCGAGTATACGGAATAGGAAAATTGAAAATAGAACACAACTTGTGTGACCGGATATTCATTAATTCAATCAAGTTGACGTGCACAAAGATTTAGAGAAAAACGGCATTTATCGACAGATTTGGATTTCCTGATTAAATAACCTTCGACATGGGTCGCTCTCTTCCTCTCTGTTTACCAGGAGAGTCGCAGAGAGGTGTGGCGCGATTGTGCGGTCCCCCGCCACAAGCATTCCTCAACGACACAGCACGAGTCCCCGACAACAAGTGCTACTGTGACGAAGACGCGGCTTTCTGGCTGGAGGAACTCGTACCAGTCATTGCACCTGACGACTTGACGGTAGAGGGCGGCATTTGTTTCTGTGGCGAAAAGGGTTGCAACTACCACAACTCAACAGAGGACGCCTGTCGACGTGATGATGAGGTTGACGACGATGGTAACAACACTGGTCACGAGCGGGCGCTCCTTTGGCTGGTTGTTATGTGTGTCAGTTTGGCTGGTTACTTGGATTAGTCGTCTATAGCCAACTCGTTTTTTTTTCGTGATACTTCATGAAGCATGAAGCAGTTTACCAAAGTCTCTGCCACTTTCTCAGCATCTTCGATTTACTTCTTCATCGTGTAGTGAAAAATTCTGTTGAAAGGTAACAATGCAGTCTCAACTGCATGGGCCTATGTCTTCAAGTTTGTGTTTCATCAAATTCTTCCAAGGGTTGTGCTCGCCAAAACAGTTTCGTAAGTACAGGGTGAAGTAGTCCAGTTTAAAGGTGTGGATTTCTGAAAACACTTGCTGGTCATGGATAACCGCGGAAGTTATCTTTCTTTTCCGTTTTTTACTGATAACTATAACTGATTCTTGTTATTTGAATTTCTCCATTATGTCATGGCTTCTATCACCACTTTATCGGTACAGAGATATTGTCACACGCATCAACTTATGAAAAAGTTGGAAGAATTTTGTGCCATTTTCTACATTGAAAAAAAAACAAACTTAGAATATGAAATAATCAGGGTAAAATGGTACATCAATTAGTTGAGAACGTTGTTTTATTGTAGAAATTTTATGCACGAAATCAAAATACAAAAAGTACTTCTGGGCATTACATACAATCTGATCTTCTATCATTCAATGTCTTATGTATTGCGTATAATTTCGGTAGAAAATCAGCAAACCATCAACTGAACTAGGTAGTTATTAAAGACGCCGAGTATATTGCACTGAACGCTTAAAAACGCGTTGCATTTGCTATATTTAGGTAATGTAATCGCATAGTTTTGTCTTTTTACAAATAACAATCAAGAAAATATGAGGAGAAGTGATAAAATGCTCACCTTAAAAGCAGAATTAACTGGCAAATCCAACCACTCAACATAAATTGGGTAGTAAAGTACCACTTGTTTCAAATTATTGAGACCAATGTTGATGTGGAAGGGTTGGCCGTTTTCGAGCGTGGGGAGTGGAGTTCGTGCCATATATAACACATACAAAACATGCCTGCTAAATAATTCAACTCAGTGAGCAGGACTGTATATTTGACTACAGGAATTTTGGACGGCAAAATTGGAAAAATAATAAATAATATTGATAAATAAAACTCCAGATAATGTGTCATATTTAAAATTTAAACTATCGTGAACTACACGTACAACATTCAAATAAGTTGAAGTTCGTTTGTTGTGTGTGACTTCCAGTGAGTGTTTTGGTTAACTCCAACAGCGACGACACTGCGGTAGTAAAAATGAGCACAATGTATACAATTTTGTTACCAAAGATAATCGACAAAATGAAAGCAAGTTAAAACGGGTAATTACAAAATCGCAAAATTGTATTTCCAGTTTCATCACTTGGAACCTCCCTACATTGAGAAAAATGCCGTTCTCAAAATACAATTTACGAAACGAAACAATCTTTGGCAAATCATCAGACTTTTCAGATTACCAAGATTCTTAGGCCTCAAATTATAGAATTACAATAAAGGGTAAATGTTACTGGAGACTGCTTTGTATAAAATCAGACGCTTTTATTGTCATAGTTTATAACAATTTCACACGGGGAAAAAAGAGAGAGATTCAGAAGGTCACGCTCTTCCCTGGTAAAGATGTCAGCACTGAGAATTTTTCTTAGTAAAATCTGTATGTATTATCTCTTACACCACCGCTGTAGTCTTGATTTGTCACAATTTTTGTGCATCTGCTAATGTTTATGGTGATAAACAATTTGCTTGTTTAAAAAATTTGAACTGATTAAATCAGGGAACTCCCAGACCATCACTAGCTAGAGACGAGTCACAGCTTCTTGGAGGAACTAGGGTTTGAATCATAATTTTATTTTTCTCAGAATATTTCCGTTTCGAAAAAAGACTCACAGTTCATGGCAGGAAATCATTGCGTAGCAACAGAGGTAATTAATTTCACTTCTAGCTGCTGTTAAATCCCTCAAAATCTAGCAGCTACCATGCTTTTGATGTATTTTTATTTATTTCTTTGGAAAATTAAACAAACACATGAACAACGTATGCATACATCCAAATTGATAAATTGAATTACAAAGCCAGGGATAGTAAGAAAAGCTGCTAAAAGCACAGCGTAATGTTCGTGTGCATGTGTAACTTTTTCCCTCTGATTTGGAAATTTTTTGATAACAGAGTTTAAAAGTGAATTGCTTTCAGGCTTTTCCTGGTCAGTCATTCCAACGATATCGGGTCGCTAACAGCAAAGATCGGTGGACGTCAAAATGGTGCTTTCTTTCTCTTGGAAACCGTTGCCCTCCATTCCGGATCTCACCCCTGCTTGCATCTAGATCGTGGAGGACGAGTGGCCACACTGTAACGCAGAAATTCTTCCACAACTCGCCAAACAGGAACTCAGCATTGCGCCGTGTTCGTACGGCCTGGTAGAGTAGTCAGACGGCACAAGCAAAGAGGGCAAGCTGGTCGGTCATGTCCAACTCGTCTCTGTCACAAACAGACAGAGGGCGGTGTACGATGAGAGCAAATGCATCGATAAGGGAAAGAGGAGGACGGGTCTCGGTCTGTTTGCCCAAGTGGAAGCGGAGAAATGGCGCACAAATACGGATTCAGCGAGTATTACGTGGGCGTTCATCAGCACGACAAAGCTTTCCATCAGAGTCGATTTTTCTCTGTATGTGAAAAGCCTTTGCACACTCTAGGAACAAACGTAATACACACTAATACGTCAGTGGACGATAGTCAAGCGTTTGTAAGCGGGCATGGCGACACCCTGTACCCAGGACGGGAGTGGGTTTATGAAGGGGGCGCCATAGCAACAGAGGTAGACTTAACTAAAGGAGACTCGGGTGTGTTGCTTGTTAAACACCTCAAGTATTGACCCCTCTGTGCACGAGACAATAATGCAACTAAGGCATACTTTTCCCACACTGCATGCACCATCGTGTGTCATAACACGTGCATGTACGTCGGACCTTTTGACGGTAGTGTGGAGAGTTTTTATGAGTCATTAAATTTTATGACTCAAGTGAAATCGAGTCATTTTAACCCAGTGACTCGATCTGAGTCGAACCATTAGGTGAAGTTAAGTCCTAGTATTAGGTGAGTCAGGTATTTAGCTGGAATGAATTCGAGTCAAAACTATTTGAACACGATACAATAAACGCCAGAGAGAAGGTGATGATTTGATATTTAATGTTACATCTAGGCTACTTCATTTGGTAACACACGTGACACTCTCAATGAAAAAAAAGTGACAGCCTACACGTCATGACGAATATTATAAACCAGCACCATAAGTGAAAGAGGCACGAATGTTATAAAATAACCTGACATTTTTCGTTGGAATATGAAAAATGAAGAAGTTTAAATCGAGGTAGAGGGGAGTATTGGCCCCCTGAAATTGTGAAAGCTTTTGTGATAATGATTATGAATGTCATATCAATGTCAAGCATCGTGAGCAAAACTAAAACAGACACTCCTTACCATTACAAACTGTGAAATTATATGGTTTTGTTACGGTCATTAGAAGTTCAAGGCTACATGTGTGCATGCCAGTACGCGTGCATTGAGCACCTCAGTAGAAAAGTATACATTTTTGGCTGAGCACTTCTTGCGCGCCGCAAGAGTTGTCCGAGTTTTGCACAATTGTGTAAAAAAACGACTTCAAAGAGTTGCTCTAAAACTCTTAATAAAGGCTCAACCTCTGAAAGAAATGCATTGCGGCGATGTCGGAAAAAAATGTTGAGGGGATTTCAATCCCTGGCTCTCAAAGTTAACAAGCTGTATTTGTAAATGCTTGATATTTTTACAAGATTTTGTAATTGGCTTTTGTGTCAATAAAGCATGTCTTACCAAAAGCCTGAATATTGTTTTTGGCTCTGGTACATTTCTGTTTGTGTAACTAAATACTGTGGCGAAACAGGGTAGCTGCGCAGACTTGTGTTTAGTCTGGGTCATTAATAATTCAGGCACGTCTAATTCATGCATTAAACATGCCGCAGCAACCAATCAGAGGCGCGCATTACCTTACGTCTGGGCGCTGGCTGCGTGGGTTGCCAGGACTTCTCAAGATGGCAGCGTGCTAACGAGAGCTCTGTGGAGTTGTGTTGTGTTGTGAGTTCCGAGTGTAAATCTGACGTACGACCGCTGATGGTTGGGGATCTACCTCAAGTGTACCTAGTGCGATCAGTTAGTGTGGTGCTTTTTCTCAGTTGCCGGAGCTGCCGATTATATCAGATCTCTTTGAAGACTGGGGGATTGTTAGACAGTCTCGTTTATTTAAGAAGTGGTAGATTATAGGATTAGGGAACCCGTGTGAACCAGTTAATTGGGGAATTAGCGAAGCTTAGACTGGAAGGATTGTGTGCCGTTGTTCCCTGCTTGTTGGCATAGCGACGGTTGGTTGCGGTCCTGGTCTGGGAGCTTGCTTTCCTCGTTGAGGTTTACTGGGTGCAGGTTTCCGTTACAGTCTGGTGAGGACTATTATAATCGCTTTCTTAATCAACTTACCTGTGCTATTTTGTAATAACTTGAAGTGGGTGAGGGTTATTTAAGTCACCTTAAACCTTGTTGCAGTTTGGGAACTGTGTTGCTTCGTAAGGCAGTATAGATTATTGTTGTATAAGTCTACCCTGCTGTGTTGTATAATTATGAAGATTGCATTAGCTTGTGTGGTCAAGACTTATCAGTTATAAGCCATCAGTAGATTTTTTATTTAGACTTGAGGGCTACCCTGATCACT